AGGGCACAGGCCCTCTGGACAGTGACAGAATTTCAGGGATGGTGGCTTCTTGGGCTCTTTCCCTGCCCTCCCTCCCAGAAGGCTCTGAGGTCCCCCTCCACCACATCCTATCCAGATTACACATATTCTCCTAGGCACCACCACATCTGGCTGAACCAAGAGTCTTTTTTTTTGAGACAAAGTCTCAAGTAGCCCTGGCCTTGAGGGCTCATACTTCTTATCTAGCTGAGATGGCTTCAAACCCCTGATTTTCCTGCCTCACATCAGTAGTTCTGGGGTAACAAGGGGTGCACACTGTGCCTCGTTGAAGGTGGTCTGAGGAATCAAACCTAAGGCCTCATACATGTTGAGCAAACACTGTCGACTGAGCTCCATCCTCCAGCCCTCAACATTGGTTTCATAAATACACTTTTATTTGAGAACAAATTTATGGAAAAGCACATTTATCTTCAAAGAATGCTGACCACTAGGCTACTGCAGATATGTTCTGGATCCTGGGAGAAAAGAATTGTCTCCTGAGCCATTTATCTGACTGGATGTGTGTATATACATGTGTGTATGTGTGTGTACATGTGTGTATTTGTGTATATATGTGTGTATGTGTGTGTACATGTGTGTACATGTATGTGTGTATACATGTGTGCATGTGTGTATACATGTGTGCATGTGTGTATGCATGTGCGCATGTGTGTATACATGTGTACACACATGCTGTTTGCTTTGTTTTATGAGGCAAGCTCTTGTAAACCAGACCAGTGTTCTGTTTCCTATGTTGCTGAGAATGACCTTGAACTCCTGGAGCCAATCTCAGGCTGATAAGCCCAAACCTGAAGTTAGTGGCCCAAACTCACCCCACAAAGCCCCCCACTTCTTCCACCATAAGACTCAGCAGCCACCTCACGTCCCTCCGCTGGGATTACCATGACGACCGTACCTCACTACGTCCCCATTCTGACTACCTCTAGCCTCATGCCGCCCCCTTGGGGTTCTCTCCCATCACCTGCCAGGGCCACATACAGGCAGACACACAGGGAACACGTCCACAGCATAGGAGTCTGTGAGTCTGTCCAGACCCACCTTGGACCTCAGACCCTTCCTGAAACAAATTATAACCAGATGTTTTACAAGTTCCTCTTTCTCCCCCAGGTGATTAAACAGGTCCTGGCGCGGACCAGCAGCGGGGGCTTCTGCGGGAACGATGGCTTCATGCACATGACCCTGTCCAGCCTTCCTTTTGGAGGAGTGGGTAGGTGGCTGCAGAGCTCTGCCCTCTGGGCTGCTCCACGGCTGCATCCACACCCTGCTGCTCGAGCACGCTAACTGCAGAACATGCAGCCCACTCTCAGAGCAGCGGACACGAAAGGAAGCCCCTCTCCACAGTCCGTGTCCATCTAGCCTGCCCCCCACCTCCCTACAGCTGTGGGGGACCTTCCAGCTGTGCTTGCACTTGCATGTGTGGGTGAGGATCTGAGAGGCCATTTGTTGGGTTTTAAGAAAACACACCTGAGGCTGCCAGCCATTAAGCGCTTTGACGTTCATCAAAAAACATTTGTCCTCAGCCCCCCATCCCCCACATAACTGTGGGTGTTTTCACTCAAGTAGGAGGCTACCTGTTTGCCACTTCTGCCTTCCCATGTCCCTGTGAACCAAGCCCTGGGCATCGCGGCTTCCAGGAGGCCTGGGATGTGGGATGCATGCCCCACAGGCATGTGTGACCTTGGCAGCCCCTTTCCCTCTGAACCCACTTCATTATTGAAAGGGTATCCCTCCACCTGGTGAGTCTCAGGAGTGGAATGAATGGCAGATGGCTCTGGCTCTCCTGGTCTGTCTAGAGGACTCACTCCCTTCTCTTTCCCTCAGTTTTGTCGGCAATGGCAGCCATTCGGCTTGGCTCTAACATGTCACCCCCCTCCAAGGCTCCCTGAGCAGTTCCCAGTCTGGGTCCTTTTGGCTCACCACCCACTATTCCCCTGGTAGACCTCACCATCCTCTGGCCTCACTCACTCCAGAAATCCCAGCTTCCTGGACTTCCTGGGCTGGGTCTTTGTCCCTTTCCAGACACTGGGAACTCCATGGGGCTGAAGATTCATTTACTTTCTTCACCCTAGGAGGAGGGTGTCACTGTCCCAGAAGAGGAGCCTGAGGCAAAGTCACCTTCTCAAGGTGGCATAGCTATTCAGGGCAAGGCTAGGATCCACCCCCACTCCCACCCTGGCAACTTGGCCTCAGGATACAACCCATTGGCCACTGTCCAGCTATCCTGTGTCATCACCTGGTAGGCTGGTGCCCGCAGGCTCAGGGCTCAACCTTTCGCTCACAGTGCTTTGTGTAGCCCAGTGGACAAATGGGGAAACAGAGGCTCAGATAGCCCCTGTCAGAGCCAGGTCTGTGTGATATCTCTTCAGCTGGCCACTGAAGGCTTGACCCTTTGTTCCATGCTGCCCACAGGATCGAGCGGGATGGGCAGGTACCACGGCAAGTTCTCCTTCGACGCCTTTTCCAACCAGCGAGCCTGTCTGCTGCGCAGCCCCGGGATGGAAAAGCTCAATGACCTCCGTTACCCTCCTTACAGTCCCCGTAACCAGCAGTTGCTGAAATGGGCCCTGGGCTCCCAGAGCTGCACCCTCCTATGAGCACCACCCTGACTCCCCACTGCTGCCCAGCCCCCGACCTACCTGAGCTTTCAGCTGCTCCCACAT